CTCCCTTATTTTTGTTTTTTTGCATAATATTTAAATAAAAAATGTGTTTTTGACAGTCGGAGTGGGAAAGGGGAAGGAGTTTTTTAGCTGACAAGTGAAGGAATTGTTCTGCTGTACTCCATTGCCTTGCCCTTGCCCTCCATCACCCTCTGTTCATCTTCGTTCCGTGACTTTATTCGCTTCGGCAACACTCGACACACACTGTTGCCAGATATAAATAAATCTCTTTAATGTCCCCGCTGAAGCTCCTTCCGTTGCTCACGCTGCTCTCCTCCTACCTTACAGAGCACCAGTTGCTGCCTGCCCAGTCCCCTCGCCCGCGGCTTGGTTTCTCTATTGTTCCCCTTTGCTCTTCACTGCCTGGCCCTGTACATATTTTGTATATCTCTGCCGACAGGGTATTGCGATTTTGGATAGCGGTCTGTGACTGTTTGGACTCTAGAGATCATACAATATCTAGAATAGCCCTAGCAGCATTCATCCGTTAATACCTTTGGTTATGAGGCAGATATCCTTTGAGACTTTTCTTGGTTTTAATAGTTTTGTCATAAAAGAACAATCGATGTTTCGTGCTGCGAAAGCCATTCAAAAGAAGACTCTAAGCAAATCAAAAATGTAGCTTCATTGTACAGATATCATACATATATGTCCAGTCAAGATCTATCTGCAAGGGCATCTAATGCTTCTCCTAAGAAAGAGGGGATTTCTTGTTTTTCGTTGTACTGTTGATATTCTCGTTCCTCGTTTTTGTCCACTAGCATTCTCTAGTGGTGGTCGTTGGGGCCTCTGCCTCTGCCGCTGCCGCTCCCTGTTTCCCTAGCTCCCTAGCTCGTCCCTGGTCTCTGTGGCAGTCGCGGGGCAAATGTAATTGGTTTAGCTTGCAGCTTAAATTTTATGCTATTTGCTGCTCTTGAAGGTAATGAAATTTCATGGCATTTGACTCGCTGCCCTATCAGTGTACTATGGGACGTATGTAGGAGTACAGTGCACACATATTGTCGCTGTCTCTGTCGCTATCCCTGGCGTATACGTAATGCTGTTTTATTTATCGAGTCCACAGGCTGTGCAGACACACATATATCAACGTAATTACAGCACCTGCCCGAACCAACACTCAATTAATTGTTATTCCATTGAATTTCAATTTCAGGCAATTCCTCACTGGTCAGTCGCTCAATTAGTCAAAAGTGAGCGACCACCGCGTGGAGTGTTCCGAGAAGAAACTCTGAAAGATGGGAATTTATGTGAAAAGTGAAGCACAAAAGGGGGTGCAACCGAAAGCGAATGTGGGTGCTGGTGTAAAGCCGAGAGAACTGTAGGACTCTGCAAGTGTGTGGGAGTAACTTAAATGTCCTTGTTTCGGTGGAGAGTTCCTTTCATACTGCAAGCTACAAATTACATATTTACTCCATAGAAAACACCACGCTTTCATTGCGCTTCGAGCGCTCGACACTGGGACAAACTGTAAAGTTAGATTTATCTAAGGAAAATCTCAGGCATAGATAGCTTTGGCCGTATTACTGTGCATTCAAATACTCGTCGGTGCAGTTTATTTATCGCAACTAATTTTCAAAGCTGCCAGGAAAGTTTTTCACAAGTTTCAATGCCACAGAAACACAAACACACAGAGAAATACTTATAGCATATATGTATATGAGGAAATTGCCATTCCACATCCGCCATCATTCAAATTGAATTATATCCCCAAGCAAAACCGTTGAATAGGATGACATTCCCTGAACTCCGACATAGTCAAACAGTGTCACTGGGTGGGTGTCTATGGATGGGTGGGTGTGCTGCTTCCATTGATTTTTGGCTGGAGGTACTTACTTTCATGCCCTGCCAAAAATTGCACAGCAAAAAAGGAAAAGAAAGGAGAGTACCAAACAAATCTGATTTGCATCTGCCGCATTGGCTTTTTGATTTAATTCCAACTTCTGGCAGAAACAAGCACGAGCAGGACACAGAACCCTTGCCTGGCACGTCCCTTTAAGCCACTTGAGCGCACAATTAGCTGTCAGCTTGAATGGAGAGCAGCAGGCTGTTCCTTTGTTCGGGACCGGCTTTGTTCCCCCGAAATTTTGCAGCAGCTCCAACGGGAGAGCCCACTTGTGTTTTACAATTCAATTTGTAGTCGAGATTCCTTGCCTGTTTCTTGGCTAACGAGCTGCTCGAATGATATGCTGCTGCCTGCTGCTCCATTCTTCTTGCGCCCTGTGCTGTGCAGGAGCTACGATGCAGGGCTCCTGCAGCTGGGAACTCTGGGGAGCTGGTAGCAGAATATTGATCCCCAGGATAATCGCTAAGCAGTCAAACAACATTGCTGCACCCATGCCCATACCTATTCCGCCCCAGAACCGTTGCTCTGCTGGAGCTTATGGAAAATTTATAAGCTCAATACGATTATCGGTGGGTGGGAAAAGCCGGCTTCTGGCTGGAAGTGGGTGCGGTGCTAAGCTGCCGCGCATCGCACTGACAGCTGTGGAAATTATGGCGGCAGTTTGTCCTTCGCTGCTTGTTTGCGCATGGGACAAGACAAAAACAATCGGCACTTCCGCAACATTTCGCAACCGATTTGTTGTTCCATTCGGTGTGGCCTGGGGCACACTTTAATGTTCATCTCGGCTTAAATACTGCTGCCACAGAGCTGACCTTAGTTCAGCTTTGCCGGGGGCCAAAATGTTAAGGAGACCCTGGAGGGACATTTACCGTTGGTCGACTAGGAGTTCCATGTACGAGTATGTAGAAAACGGCACAGTTTCGCCTAATGCTTGTTGGCAGTTGAAGAACTGTGATTAAGATTAAGGATGCTTGTAGGAGACACAAACGAACACGCATGGTCATGCATGAACTTGTTTTATCCAACGGTAATAGCACCATATCTGCGGACAGCGTAAATCGAGCTTAGCGAGAACAACTCAAGCAAAAAGTTTATCAACAGTTGAGAGAATGAGAGAATGCAGCCTCTTGTACCGTTAAAGCTCTACAGCTCTGTCGCAAGCAATTGAATGCAATCAGTCGCTTGTTAGTGCAGATGAGTTTTTGCTTTATTTCTTTGGCAGCAGTTGTGTTGTGTTTTTTTTTCTGTTTAACTTTATGTACAAATGTACATACATACATACATATATGTATTGTAGTTCATTATGGCTGCAGAAACAAATTACTAAAAATAGCACACGAGCTTCATTGATGGTATTTTAAAATTAAATTAAAATATTTCCATAAATATACATGGAATGTTTTATCGAATTTGTAAGCCTAATTAACACTAAAAAAAAATAATGAAATATTATTATTTCTATTACCGCAAGGCAAATATTTAAATTTTGCTCAATTTTAAGCACTGGTTTAAGCTCCAGCTTAAGCTCCTTTTTTCAACGATATTTTAATGGAAACATTTTTTACCACCACTGTGGTTGCCGTGGCTGAGGCTCTGTGTCCCTGTCCCTGTCATTTCTCAGAGGCGACACTCGGCAGCAGCCAAGTTTCAAATTTGAAAGTTTTTCGCATAAATTTCAAGCAGGCAAAAACAACAACTACTAAAATGAAACTGAATGAAAATGAGACAGTAAGCAGGAAAAGCAACAAAGTCGTCCTGCCCTGCAACCTCTCGACCGGGACTAAGACCCTTTAAGTGCTTTTCCCATGACCACGTTGGAGCCAGAGCTCTGCGGCAGGTCATAATACTCGTATTAAGTTGGATTTGATTGGATTCGAAGAATATATGTATGTACATACCATATAGACGTATGGGATATTTTAGGCATTATATCCTAGGTGGGACACCTTGATTTGTTGCAGGACTTGGGATGCGCTGGTGCTGCGATTACTGCAACAATTTCGTAATCATCAACGGCCCCAATTTTTGCACTTGCAACACAACCCAACACGCCAAGAACCCACCACAGCCCCCGGAGAGAGAGAGAACTCTGGTTGGTTTCCGGGCCACAAAAGAGAGCCACTCTCGCTCTCCCAGTACGTGGGCGGTCGCATGTTGCCACCGCCACATGTTGCAACATGTTGTCGGACCCACCTGCTGCCGAAGCATCATAAATATTCAACAAAGTTAAGTTGTCATAGGCTAAATTGAAGACCATTTTCCCCGGCATGTGTGGCAAGGGGTGTGCATCAGGGTGGCATGGGTAATGGTGACTCCACTAAAAGCGAAACGGAATAAAAGTACAATTCGGAACATTTCCAGCAAAGTCATGACCAAAAGACGGGGAGAGGACAGTCAGGTGGGGAGGTTTCTGGAATTGAAATTTCGGTACTTTGGCCCACGTCATCTGATATGCAGGAAAAAGGTGTGTGGGTGGGCCGCCTGGGATGGGAGGGGGGATAAGAAGTGGCGTTCCACACAAAGGTGAGTAATGACCCTTGAATCGGACTCCCAGTGCCTGTGGGCAACAACTGGGCCGGGTCGGTCTTCAGTTTCACCTACTCCTGCTCCTCCCAGTGTAAAGGTCGAATTTGAATTGTTGTGAGAAGCTCTGGCAGCTGGACGAATTCGATTGATTTATACTCTGGTGCGTAATACACCCCGTATTTGTAGAGTACATGCCATTGCTGTGAAGAAACGATTTTTTACAATTATGACAAAAATCAAGTGCATCATTATCAATGAAAATCATACATGCAAAAGATGCAAATTATAAAGGTGCGATATCTGTTTTTTAAACCTGCCACTCGGTGAGATTTGCTTTGATAGTTTTCCCATTCGCATGACTAACGGGTATTCTGAGTACCGTTACACTGCACTCAGACGAATATTCATGGCACTTATGTATCCATTCATACGGAGCCATGCACAACCAATCAAAGGTAAAACATTCCATTTGGGAACCATAAATTCCTCGTACGATCTACTCGACTGCTTCAGTGAACCGAGACTGAAAAGTCACCCGTTTGAACCTGTTTGTCTTTTTGTTTGTACCTTTGTCATTGTTTCAGAATTTCCTTTCATTCGCAGCGAGCACTCGAAATAATAAATTTTAGAAGAAACGCAATTTTTGAAATTATACCTGTTAATAACGCGAGAATCCAAAGATGTCTGCACTCGGAATCAATGGCTTTGGACGCATCGGTCGCGTGTTTCTTCGCAACTGTCTGATGCGCAAGGAGGCGAAAGTGCTGGCTATCAATGACCCCTCAATGGACCCCAAGTACCTGGCATATATGCTGCGTTACGACTCCACGCATGGCATATTCAACAAGAAGATCTCCCTGGAAGGCAACACAATAGTGGTCGATGGGAAGAAGATCAAGCTGCTGAAGGAGTCCGATCCCAAGAAGCTCAAGTGGGGGGATCTGGGCGTGAAAACCGTTGTGGACTGCTCGGGCCGCTTCACCACCCTGAAGGCGTGCCAGGTCCATTTGGATGGGGGCGCAGAGAAGGTGGTCATCTCTGCCCCCTCGTCCGATGCACCGATGTTCGTGTGCGGCGTGAACCTGCACAAGTATAAGCCGGACATGAAGATCATATCGAACGCTTCATGCACCACCAACTGCCTGGCCCCGCTGGCCAAGGTGGTGAACGACAGGTTCCAAATTGTTGAGGGTCTGATGACCACGGTGCATGCCGCCACGGCCACCCAGAAGATCATCGATGGGCCGAGCAACAAGGCTTGGCGCGATGGCCGCAGTGGCATGTGCAACATCATACCCGCATCCACGGGCGCTGCCAAGGCAGTGGCCAAAGTGATTCCCGCTCTGAACGGGAAGCTCACGGGCATGGCATTCCGTGTGCCCACCCCAAATGTCTCTGTGGTGGATCTGACCTGTCGCCTGAACAAGCCCGCTAAGCTGGATGATATCAAAAAGGCCGTCAAGTCAGCAGCCGAGGGTGACATGAAAGGGATCCTTGGCTACGTGGAGGAGGAGGTCGTCTCCTCCGACTTCAACGGTTCGCGCTTTGCATCCGTCTTCGATGCCAAGGCCTGCATTGCTCTCAACGATAACTTTGTCAAGCTGATTGCCTGGTATGACAATGAGACGGGCTATTCGTGTCGTCTCTTCGATCTCATTGTGTATACCCAACTGGCTGACAAGTGCGCAGAGGAGGAGCTGAAGAAGAAATGCGCAGAGGAGGAGCAGAAGAAAAAGTGCGCCGAGAAAGACAAGGATCCCTGCAAGAAGAAGTAGGTTTCCATTTAACTGAAAAGATTATATTTAAATAGTTTTATTTTGTTATGGAAATGGCCTTTAAAATAATTGCATATTTTATTGGAAGAACCAAAGCGGGTTTCGCTTGTTTCTATAGGGATATACTTATTATGAGTGTTCTTTGGGCGATGGCTTAGACATTACTGGCATTCCTTTGGAATTGCATAGCGGAGATGCTTCTTATTTCGTTCTCCGCCCCGTCCACGGCAGTACCATCGCTGCTCTGATGGTGGTCCGCTTCCACAATGATGTCGTCCAGTGTGGGAGTCTTGATTCTGCTGCGTATAATGAGATCCCTTTCGGCTGGGGCCTGCAAATGCAGAGGATTGGTGGCCAGCTCCGCGATGCCGTCGATAGGGACGCCCTGCAAGCCGAGTGTCATGTTCACCTTGGCATGCTGGCCTGAAGTCAGCTCACTGCTCGGTTGCACATTGTCTAAGGATGTGGGAGGACGCAGGCGAGCCGGATCCAGTAGAGAGTGCATTTTGGTTTGCTTGCGTGGAGTGCGGGCCGGTGAGGCCTTCCTAGAGTTGTAATTCTTCAGCTGCTTGGATCTAAAAGAGTGTTTCATTAGAAATCTAGCCAGACGGGAGCAGTGTGTACTTACGCTTCCATGAGCTTCAGCAACAAATGGTGATACGCCTCGTATTCGTCCTTGCCAAACTCGTTGGGATCGTGGCGAGCGTGCTCGTACATGTCGCAGTACTGGTGAATCATGCGTTGACCCGCACCGGTAAGTGGGATCGACAGCGTGGTAAGGAGAAAGGCACGAAGGCTCTCGTGGGCGTGCCGTGAGCTGCCATCGGCCCGGGCGATCTCAGATTCCAGCAACTTCACGTCGTCCACAGCCTTCATTCTGTAGTAATAAGGCGGCAGAGGCTCCTCCTGCTCCGGCGGCACTATGTACTTGTCGCCGTCGGTCCAGAGCAGCTTTGGCTCCTGCGCTATCTTCTGGATGCAGTCCAATCGCCGTTCGATCTCCCGACGCAGCACCTTCTTGGCGTCGTTGCCCACTGGAACATGAGGGCCGCGACGTCCACGCAGCTGGAACCGCATTATCTGACGCTTTGCAAAGATAAATAGCATCAAGGATGTGAGCACACCTCCACTGATAATGATGATTATCATAACACCCGAAAGCTGCTCCATGTTGCTGCTTGTGGCGTCCTTGCCCGGACTTTCTGGAGAGCGCAAGTCGCTTATCTTATGTAGGTGCAGCCCATCCATTTATTGCTTTTTTTATTCCCTCGTATCGTGCAGATAAACAATTTTCGCTTTGTTTTTGCTCTTCACCCCAACAGCTGATTTGGAAATCGATAGACATAGTGATGTGTGGCTGGCATGAGCTGATATCGATTAGTCGTAGTTCAAAAATTTAATTCAATTTTGCGGTCAACATTATGAATAATATTTACATGCTACAAATTTAATCCTTTCGGATGTACAGTCTCTTTGGCAGCCAGCGCTCGTGCTCCTTATCCTCTCATCCACTTTACGTCCATGGGTAGTTGTTGCTGAAGAGAACAGTGCCCACCAAGCTGTATGTGAGGCACCATATGAACAGTGCCCCCGCCTTGGAGCGGAAAGAGAGCTGGAATGTGTTGGGCATGTAATCGGCGGCAAACCAATAGAACACGGGCGTAGCCGAGGCCAAGAGTCGGGTGGACACTTGAATGTGAACGTACAACGTGCAGACGAGGGTGAGCACAGCGGCGTGTAGAACGAATGGGAAAGAAATGTGCTCCTTAAGGATGCCTTGGTACTCGGACGGGCTGATCTTCGACCATGTGTTGGCCACGAGCTTCCTGATGTAGTCGTAGCAGTGCCAATGCATGAAGAGCAGCATCGGGAGTGCCAACAGAAAGTTGGGAAGCTGTTTCCACTTGTAATAGCGCAGAAATCCAACATCCCAGTAGTGGGATTGGACATACGTGTAGGGGAACGGCAGGGTGTATCCGCACCAGGGCGAACCAACCGATGCCTGGCCAGATATCAAGTAGCTCCTCTCCTTGGCATAGTCCACGACGTGCTGGGCATGCTGCACCTTAACATCTGGCAAGCAGTATAGTCGGTAGATGTAGAAGTAGTATGTGTGGAGGATTCCAAGAGCAACAAGCATTGCCAGGCCCATTTTAAAGAGCTGCCAGCAGCGCTGGACCGAGCTTGTAGAGAGCAGAATGTGGCGAGCAAGGAAATACAAGGGAAATCCCAGAGTTAGGAGTCCATTGGAGCGACAGACAAAGCATCCAGTCAAGGCAGCTCCCAGCCGAAGAGTCCGAAAGTCCTTTTCAGATCTCATGCACTCCAGCATAAGGGAGAAGCTGGCGAAGGCAAAGAAGGTCTCCGAGTAGGCGGCACTAAAGAATATCGACGCCGGATTGAAGCAGAAAATCAAAGCCGCGTTCCAGCTCTTGTTGTGGTCGTTGAACATCCGTTGGGTCAGCTTGTATAGTACGTTGGCCGTCTTGCAGAAAATTAAAACATTGAGGGCCACTGCCACGAGCAAGATGAGCGCGTCTCGGGACAATGGTATTCCCAGATGCTGGCACGCCTGTGCCACGTGACGCACAACGACGGGATACAGAGGATAGAACGCCAGGGTGTTCTCATAGGTGTACAAATTGCTGGCTATGTGCAGGAAGTACTCGCCATCCCAGTGCCGTAGGCCCGACAAGCTCTGTAGGACCAGTTCGTCGAGCCAAGGAAACGGTCCATTCTTCTTGGGGCCTTCGGATTGCGGCATGCGGAACACGTCGGGCTTATGGTCGGGCGTGGCAAAGTTTGCCAGCAGTTGGACCACCAGCACAATGACGCGACTGGTAAGCGCCAGCTTAGTTACCTTTCCCATCATTTCGTATGCCTGCAAAGGGTGGAGTCATGGGGCATGTGATTCACACTAAGTTCAGAGCTTACCCGCGTATGACACAATCAAATAACATTCAATTTGGACCTCCACGCTTTGCGCAGCGTTCGGCTAGCTATTTAAAGACCACTCACGGTTGAGAAGGTCCTGGCGTCGGTAGCAGCAGTCAATTTTTTGTGCATAAAATATTTAGCCTTGGAAACACCCGGCAACTGGACAATTCCACAACAATTTTCGATGAAATGGCAATCGATAGTAAAGAGAGTACACACTGCCATTGTGCGTATTCGAAGCGATAGTTGGCTATCGTAAGAGCCCCATCAACTAATTTTGGTGGCGGCATTTTGTGGACACACTGGTGGCATTTTTGTTTTTAAGTTAATCTTTTCTGCTGAAATATAAATGTAAAGAATATAAATGTCTCGAAAGAATGCCAAACAGTGCCAAAAAGTCGGACGGTGCCAGCAGCACCAGCTCAACGCCGAAGCGAACGCGAAAGCGGCGCCGCATTGACCGAAACAGTCTCGACTCTCAGGTGGACGATGATGCCAAGGAAATAGATCGCCGGCTGCGGAAGGTGGCTCGCGACAATTCCATTAGCAGCGAAGATATGCACAAGGTGGTGCGCAGTGTGGTTCGCAACGATCATGTGCTCGCATTAGTCACCTTGAAGGCGGAGGATGAGATGGCCAGGGAGAAGCTGGAGTCGGCCGAGCAGCAAAAACGTGGTGCCATCATCATCACAGATACTCCGTCGGTGGCCAAGCTTACCCGTGCGAAGGCGAGAGAGCTGAATTGCACTCCAAGCATTAGTCTGCCTTCCCTGAACGATGCACCGGCCGACGCCAACGGAATAGAGGCGCTGATACGCGACGATTTTCACTCCGACGAAGAGGATGAGGAGTATACCTTCAAGGAAGACGACTTCCACGAGGTGGGCAGAAATGCATTTATATAGCACCTTCACTATTATTTTGTCTTTGTTTTGTAGTCTGACGACGATCCAAACACCACTGCCTCTGACTTGGACTCCAATCCCTGCACACCAAATACTCCGCTCACTAACACTGAAGAGTCGCCTGTCAAGCTCTCAGATGATGGATGCTTCAAGGTGCCGCTTGACAAAAATATTGCTGGCAATGAAGACCTTCGTATTGCCACGCGGACGCGTTCCAAACTTTGTCTGCAGGAGACTACTATCGAGGACTTGCAGTCGGGATTTGTTCCGCCTGACTTGGAGCCAAGTGATACATTCGAGCCCGACATGACGGCTACTGATGCCGACTGGATGCAGTTCCTTAACGATTTTACAAAGCCTTTGAGTGGGTGAAGAGTTTAGTTAATCTCCTGTTCGACGTACTAATTCTTCCTTTTGTCGCAGATAATAACTTTCTCGGTGATGACGACGATCTCATAGAAGATCCGGAGTATGTGGCTGCTGACCATATTGATTCGGAGTATGAAAACGCTGAGGAGCTGCGTGATGTTAATATATCGAAGAAGGAGCTCACTGACTTGGTCTCAGAACTATTTGCCGGCCTCCTTCAGGAGGGAGTATCATTCGAATCCGTTGAACTGGAAACCCCACAGAAATTCTTGGATAGCGCTATTACGATTGACCCCATTGATCAGGTATCGCGGCATATCGATTTTGATGAGCAGCCAGCTATTATGGCCCACCAGCCAGTAGTGGATTCCTTTCAACCGAGTGTACTACCCACACCTTGTATGGAGAATAATATGGCCATGTTAATGCCCGTTCCCGTTGCTGTGCCGCAGGAGGCGGATGCGAATGAGCCCCCAGAGCTGATTGCCGTTCCGGTGGATGGTCAACCCAATTGCTTCCAGCTGGCGAAGGTTATTGCAAATGGTCCACCCCTTTACAATCCTCCTGAGCCAGATCCCTTCCTAGACTACGCTGCCTCAGAGCAGTCGGAACCGCCTACATCATCCAAATACAGCAAGGATCGTTATATGAAGCCCTACGATACAAATTTCACGTGGGAGTACATCTCGGTTCGCAAGCACGTCTTCGCGGAGTACGATGAACAGTTCGAAAACCTGCGAAACATCCAACCAGCCTCTCCCACTGTCAGTGGCAAGGGATTCACCAAGTATCAGCACGATACGCTGCAACAGCAGCTGCGTATACACACTCAACTGCTTACCCAGAGCTACCTGCAAACCTACTCGCATCCCACACTCTATTCCATGGCCAAGAAGCCCAAGGAAATGCTGGAGAATCTTCATCAGAGGGCTGCCACAGACGCCAGCTTCAATTGCTGGAACCTGAAGGAAGCCGTTGAGCTGGTCCGACAGTGGGAGCACGATCTCAGTAGCGATGACTTCCAGGTGGAGAACAAAAAGATGATGGACTTTATCAACAAAGAGACGGACTTGACGTGAGTACCAAGGGCGAGTACTCATACGAGTTTCCTGACTAACGTAAAACGTCTTTATTTTCGCCTTTAGAGATGGCCGAACGCGGCAGGTACCTCGCCTCGCTCCTAGGATAATGGATCTCATGCTGGACAGTCGAGTATTCATGTATCCGCAATATATGCCTCGCATGGCCTTTAAGCCGCGCATGCAGCACATAAGCGCCTACGCTCCGTCCGAGTACCAACTGATAGCCATGGGCCTGGAGAAGCATATGACTGACATCAGGAACTCCAAGAGACCTCTGCGCAAAAGCTCCGATCCTGTGCGCATTGCCTGCAGGCGTATGGCCAAGGATAGGCTTCATGGGAAGTCGGGCAAACGAATTTTCTTCAAGGTTAACGAGCTGCGCGAGATGTATCAGTATAATCCTGTCAAGTATTACTTCGATCACGAGCGGGCACCGCCCATCAACCACATCCTGCTGGGCTTCGAGGGAGGTCAAGTGCTGACGCCTCGTGAACGCTACCAGGAACTGCCCAGTGCCTGGCAATACTACATGCAGGTGAGGATTTCTTCATATTACATTTAATTGGGGGGGAAAATCTCAAGCGGGAAATACGTTGAACTAGCTAATGTCCTACACGATCTCTGGGTATGAGACGCAGTTCGGAGCCATGTTTCAGGAATACGTTTCCGGCCGTCTGCTGGGGGCTGATGCCAATACCATCGTCGGTGATGATTGCGCTCGTCTCTGCGGGCACTTTGAACTCCTCCGATGCGAATTTGAGCACGGCCGTGAATGGGGTTCCCTCCGGTACACTGAGCACCTTGAAAGGCAGCTTTGGGTCCGAGGTTAGCGTGATTTTAAAGGTTACTTTGCTCATGTTGGAATGCAGATTTCCCTGTGACGTGGTCAGTTTTTGTGTGTACGGTGAACAGCTGCCAGTGCCGATCGTCGCTAATGGAATCCGTACTCAGTTTTGTGGCACGATCAGACTGAAATTGAAATGTTTAAATTAGATACTTTCCTCGCCATAATTGGTAATTTTAATTAATAACAAAAAATATGGTTCCGCCTCACATTCTTGCCAGCAGTCAAAAGTGCGATAGGCAATGGAAACACTATCGGCAACTACCGATTGCAAGTGATAGTGCGCCTGTTGGCTGCGCGGCTATCGATAGCTGCTTACCTTTGTTTCTCTCATCCCTGAATGTTTATAAATTGCGGAAAATTTTCTATACTCGCCTGAATTGTTGAATATTTTGCAGAAAACTTGGGAAAGGAAACGTGCCAGGCGCACTGTAAAGCCAGCCAAGGCTTCTGCTGTAGCCAGTGCATCGTATATTGAATTTGTGCGGGAGGCAATCGGTGAAGATTTGCAATTGCCCGAGAGTCTAGGCGAGGCTGCCATCCCAGACGGGGGTGCCACTGTTTCAGCACTCATAGAGCCACCAAACAAGTCGCAAACGAAGCGAAAATCCGCAGCTAAAAAGAAGGGACGTCAATCATCCTTGCTGACCATCAATGTTAACTATGTGTTTGGCGGCGGAACAGATACGGACATACGCGGAGCTGGTGTCTCCGTTCCCTTCCAGCAGGGAAACTTGGCCGACAATGTGGTGAACATTAATCGTTCGCTACACACCAGCGCCGAATGCAGTCGCGTGCTGGCTCTGCCTTCACCGCCTCCTCCCTTGGGCGAAGATGCACCTCCTGCCATCAACTACACGGTGGATGTGTTGACGAATTCTGTGAATATAAACGAGTCTGAAAACTCAGAAGAGGCAGAAACTACGCAGCAGGATTTGTTGCTTGCTTCCCCGATAGGCAACGAAAGGAACTCATTTACAAGGACAGGCAGAAACTGCAAAAGGGCGCGCTATCAAATATTTAAGCCAAGGATTAAGTCGCGCAATAAGCCACGTCCCTCCAGCCTATCCCCGCCACAGAGTCGCTACCACAGTTTGCGCAAACGCTTGCGCTATAAACTGCAGAAGCGCTGCCATCGCCTAATCACCTCCTACGCGTCCTACCTGCGGAAGGAAACCGAAAGGTACAAGGCCTGTGAGCCTGTACAGATCGTCCACAGACACTTTCTGTCCCTCGAACTATACACACTGATGCTCGGTGACTTGAAAATGCTGTGCAACAACAAGGTGCAACCCTCGACATCGACGCAGCAAAAACGATCACGAGACGATCATGAAACTGCTCGCATTCGCAAGGCCAACCGACAGGAGGAACTTCTCCGGCACATGCTGAAGCCGGATGGATCCGAAGAACAAAACCGCAACGATGCCAGTAAGATCAAATGGTTTTTCAAGTGGATGGATAGAACATTGTATTCATTCATTTATCTTTATACAGTTTTTGCCTACAATTTCTATGACAAAGTGGAGGAGGCCTTGCTGAATGCGGACCGGGTGGAGGATTGCAAGAAATTCAATAAATTGCTGCAGAACTTTGATCCCCAGCATGACAAAGTGTCCGATTTATATCTGGTAATCATAAGAAATATAATATTGTCCCTCCTTTGTGAAAAAGATTACAACTTGTGGTTAACCTTACAGAAAGTGGAAAATCTACTCTTGCCAGATTATCCCGAATTGGCAGAGGTATTCCTCAACTTTCTGCTACCTGCGGAGGCTGCTGAATTGGGGAAATTCTTCCAGCACTTTATGATCAGCAATGCCAGCAATTTTATCAACAAACTGAATATATATTTCTGCAAGCAGCCCGCCCAGATAAGAAAGATCTATGCATGCCTCAGCGAGCTGGCCGAGCTGCCCAGTGTGAGCATGAAGAAGGTGGAAAATAAGATTATGCCCTTGCTCAAGGGCAATCAGTTTCTGTGCGATTGGTTTGTGCGGCAATTCCCTCAGGGCAAGCCCCCGAAACGGTAAGAGAACAAACTGATTGATACGCTGATGCCTGAAATGCAACTAGTCAATACATATTTTATTAATTTGTACAGAATGATGCCCCCTGTGGAAACGTTTAATCTGAACGAGCTGCAGCACAACACAACCGGCGAGTATACAGAGACTGTTCACGATTACGCGGACCCTGTGACGCATCCGAAGCCTCCAGCAGCATGCAGATTGAAGTACATCAATGGACGTATGTTCTATGGCTCCAAAATCCTGCTACCCGCCAAACTCTCCTTCATGGCTGCCAGCATCTACAACGAGCAATTGTACGATTTGCCAGCCGATTCTGCCGATGCCCTGACCTGTGTCCATGGCATTCGGGAGCACGGCGAGAAGCTGCTGAGCCTGGCTACGTCGGTGGACAGTGACGATGCGGCTGACCGGAGTGAAGAAGATGATGCGAGTCGTGGTCTGATCATTGACACAACTGGCGACGAGCAGAACAGTAGCTCCTCTATCGAGATGTGCGACGATGTGACATTGAAAGCTCATGCCGTGCGCCTGAATGCCAGCCTTTATAGCAATCAAAACTTTGGGGCGACCAGTACGCCCAATGCCAACCATTCCCAGGGACATCATCCGAATGCCAGGAAAACGGCCATCAACTTTGGCGAAATGTCGCCACGCAAACAGGCGAATAGCTCTGGATTGAGTCCGTTGTCGGGTCTGTCCCCACACCTGGACAAACGAAAATCGCCCACAAAGAAAGTACGCTCTCCTCAGAGCCAGTCGCAGCCTAAGCCCCGCTACAATGTTGCGCCAATGGTGGTAATCCATGAGTCTCGGGCGCCACCCTCGCCAGCCATTGAGTGTGCCAAACGTTTGCGCACCTTGATCGACCAGGAAAGTGCCCGCGATGCCACGGATAACAAAGCTGGTATCCGCGTCATTGCCCTGGCCAAGCAGAAGCCAACAGCAACACTCTCTGTGCCCAAAGTGGAGCCCGACAACCAGGATGAACGGGAGTTCCTGTCGGACAGTGGCGGAAGCCTGGCCATGTCCATCTCCCCGCAGTCTTTTAGCCCCGTCAAAATGGATTTGGGACAGTCGGAAGAGGAGGAGCTGGAGCCGCTCCGTGTGAGTGCTGGCAATACCCCCCAGCACATGATCACGACACAGTTCGACAGTGACGAGGACTGCAAACTGGATGTGGTAGCCAGTCTGGCAAACTTCTCAACCGCTGAGGACGCGTCCGCTGGCTCTCCAGCCTCAGTGGCCGCCAGCACATCAAAACCTGCATCACCACCCTACAGATTAACCAAGTCATCGCCGTGGACGCGCGAAGAAGACAAGGTCATTCTCACCGAAATGAAAATGGGGGCACGTGATCGGGAGCAGCTCATTAGGCGGATACGTGCCAAGCTTAAGCATCGAAATTTCATCGAGCTGCGTACCCGACATCAGTTCCTCATGGACTTTCTGTCTAAGCTGCAGGGTAAATAGGGGAAGAACGCGCCTCTGTGTCTTGTATTATACACCAAACTGAATAATTATTTTACTACGATTATGTTGGAAGGATCTTTTACGGCCACAGCTATGTCGGCTCTCCCTATGATTACGTTAACCATGAGTTTCCCACTATCGTTAAGACTGTTAACATTGGAAAATAAAATGTTTTTAATATAAACCCAAATATAGTCTTTGATCTAAACTTCATAATCTTTCCAAAACGAATAAGTTCTTGAACTTGCTTTACTCTCTAATCTTCAACCTTTGACTCGATACCAATTATGCCCAGTTTAAAGGCACATCGCATAGACCCTGAGGCAACGCTTGATCAGCCCAAGTATGCCTTCTTCTTCTGTATTATGGGAGCCGTATCAGCCATTGCCTTCTCCACGCTGGGAGCTGCCTATGGGACTGCCAAGTCGGCCATTGGCATCTCATCGATGGCGGTCAAGCATCCGGAGCTGATAATGAAGTCCATCATTCCCGTGGTAATGGCTGGCATTATAGCCATCTATGGACTGGTCGTGTCGGTGCTGTTGACCGGTTCGTTGATAAAGATGTACCCCACCTACAAGGGATTCCTCAATCTTGGCGCCGGTCTGGCTGTGGGTCTCTCAGGAATGGCGGCTGGCTTTGCCATTGGCGTTGTGGGGGATGCTGGTGTTCGTGCAGCTGCACAGCAGCCGAAGCTGTTTGTGGGTCTCATTTTGATACTGATATTTGCCGAGGTCTTGGGTCTCTATGGCCTGATAGTGGCCATCTATTTATTCACCAAATAAAATGTCAATAAAACCGGGACATTCCACAAGTTCTTTATAAACGAGTCGTCACTTGTGTTTGTTGGGAACTTTTTCTTCTACAAACTATTTGCTCAACTGGATGATATGCTCTTGCAATGGATGCACACATCGCGACGACATGTCCGCCGGAAGTTCACCGATCATATAGAGCGTTATCACAATCATAATACTCACCGTCAGCTTCATTTCGTGCTGCGGGAAAATACTGATATTAAAAATGAACATGGTAGGAAAAGCCTTCTCCAAAGCTACTGTACCTGGTTTCGTTTGATGATGGTGAGAGTATCGCCATTGTTGGCAGTGGACTGGCAAAGGCGACAACGATCATACAGCGAGCAACCTTGTGGTGACAGAACCTCGGTGGCCCACTGTTTCTCCTGAAGCTGGACAAGTAGGTGAACTGATCAACCGAAATGAAAATGGAGGCACGTGATCGGGGCAGCTCATTAGGCGTATGTGTGCCAAGCTTAAGCATCAACATCAGTTCTTCATGAACTTTCTGTCTAAACTGCAGGGTAAGTAGGGGTAGTAGAACGCGGTTCTGTGTCTTGCATAGTATAGTATAGTATAGTAAACTATAATTATGTTAGAAGTGTAGTTTAGGCACATCTACATATGTCTGCTATCCATACGATTAAGTTAACCATGAGTTTCCCACAATCATTAAGACTGTTAACATTGGAAAAAAGGGATTTTGAAAATAAATCGAAACCCATTGTTTGATCCAAACTTCATAACTTTTCCAAAACAATAAATTGCCCAACTTGCATTATTCTCTAGTTTAAAATCTTTATTTGACTCGGTACCAATAATGCCCAGGCTAAAGGCACATCACATAGACCCTGAGGCAACGATTGATCAGCCGCAATATGCGTTCTTCTTCTGTATTATGGGAGCCGTGTCAGCCATTGCCTTCTCCACGCTGGGAGCTGCCTATGGGACTGCCAAGTCGGCCATTGGCATCTCGTCGATGGCGGTCAAGCATCCGGAGCTGATAATGAAGTCCATCATTCCCGTGGTAATGGCTGGCATTATAGCCATCTATGGACTGGTCGTGTCGGTGCTGTTGACCGGTTCGTTGATAAAGATGTACCCCACCTACAAGGGATTCCTCAATCTTGGCGCCGGTCTGGCTGTGGGTCTCTCAGGAATGGCGGCTGGCTTTGCCATTGGCGTTGTGGGCGATGCTGGTGTTCGTGCAGCTGCACAGCAGCCGAAGCTGTTTGTGGGTCTCATTTTGATACTGATATTTGCCGAGGTCTTGGGTCTCTATGGCCTGATAGTGGCCATCTATTTATTCACCAAATGAAATTTCAATAAAAGTGGGACATCTTCAGATCCCACAAGTTCTTCGTAAGCGAGGCGTCACTTGTGTTTGTTCGTAACCGGTTCTCACATCTGTTTCATGGGGGTGTAACTTTTTCCTCGACATTCTATTTGCTCAGTTGGATGATCTGCTACTGCAATGGTTGATCAGTTTGAGTTGAGACATTGTCGGAGACACTTCGCTTCTGGTGCTAGAATGTTTCTTCATTTCGTCGGCTTTTGGATGGTGCTTGGCGTCTGTCTTTTCCACGTTCAATCGCAAGATAACACAACTGTTGCAAGAAACACCACAGTGGCAAGAAACACTACGAAACTTGTGATGGTGCGTCCACTGCACAAGAAGGAGGATGAAAAGAAGGATATGATGCACATCGTCATACATAAAATACTCCCGGGGGATCCGTACTACAAAGTGTTCGATGGAGACCAAGCCAAAGCACGACGCTACACCAACAAGATCTGGCAACGTCTCCTGGATCGTTACAATACCATGCTGATATAACTTAAGTAATGTTTATTGAATGGTCGTTTACTAAGTGATTATAATAAAGCTAGAGCTGAAGATCGAATCATCGTTTGTGGCCGAGTCTTTCGCGTGCAGGCAGGAGCTTGATCTGGTGGTGAACACCTCTGGCTCTGGATGTCCATGGGAGTGGGAATGTTGTTCCTCTTGGGAATCCTTCACTAGCGTAAAGGTGCCCACAGCTGTTCTACAGTGAGCATCGTTCTGACAATCGGAGTCGCTGGCCCAGCTCGCGCAGCCACACTGCATCGCCTCGTCCGCCGGCAAATGATGGGGCGCCACACTGCTGACCACGCACTCCTCGGCCGTGGGTTGCTGTTGGCGTCGGGTCCGACATCGGCGCCAGCTCCGCCCAATGGCACGGAAGCAACAGATACCCATGCACACATCTGAGGTGCCCTTGAGGCAGAGAAAGAACTCTGGCATAAAGGAGGGATTGATCACGGCGTACACGACAATGTTCAGGGACAGTTGCAGGGCATTGAGCGTGATGCAGATCACCTCCACCTTCTCCATCACCGACTCATCCACTTTGTTGGTGTCGCCCCCGAAGAGTAGATTGAGCGAACTCTTTCGTGACGTCATGTGCGCCGGAAGTTCACCGATCATGTAGAGCGTTATCACAATCACAATGCTCACCGTCAGCTTCATTTGGTGCTGCGAGAAAATATTGATATTAAACATCGTAGGAAAAGCCTTCTCCAAGGGCATAGTTCTGTCGGCAACTGTACCTGGTATCGTTTGATGGTGGTGCGAGTGTCGCCATTGTTGGCAGTGGACTGGCAAAGGCGACTCTGCTTTGTCCACCGTCGAAAGGCAATAATGATGGCTGTGTTTCCGATCAGCAGGAATACGGCTGGCAGCAGGGCCAACAGGGTGAAGCTGAACCAGTTGTGCACCTTATAAAATCTGCAGAAAGAATGGAACAGTATTCCGTGTAGAAAGTTGACCCATCAATCCAGCTTCTCACAAAACTCACGTGGAGTAGTAGAACTCTTGCACATGACAGGTTCCGTCCTGATCCACATAGAAGACGAAAAAGTATGGTATATTGGCAATAACAGAGACGGCAATCACGACGGCGATCATATAGCGAGCAACCTTGCGGCGACAGAACTTCGGTGGCCCACTGTTCCTCCTGAAGCTGGCCAAATAGGTGAACCGATCCAGGCTGAGACAGGCCAGAATCAGGTTGGCGGCTCCTGTGCTGATGCCGAACAGCGGCGTTTGCCACCGGTAGTCGTAGGTGATCCAGGCGGGGCTGTAGTAGAAGTAGCTGCGCGACAGCGCCGTTAGCGTGATGAGCAGACAGGAGACGCAGTCCATCCAAGAGAGTGCCGCCAGATAGGTGAAGGCCGAGGGCGTCATCTTGGGCCGCATGAACACCACCGCGTTGATGAAGTTCGTACACAGACCGAAGATGGAGAGCGTGGGGACCACTAGGCCGTACAGCACGAAGTTCACCACCGATGGCATGCTCCTCTGGAAGATGCACTCATCGCTGTGGAACGGCATCTCATGCTGCGGGTCCAGCCCCCAGGGGCTCACAGTACTGCTGATTGAATTCAATGCGAACATGGCAGATGGACGATGGACTGACTCGATGGATGGGATGGCTATGTCGACGGATGACTGGCAGCAACTGGCAGCGACTGGCAGGCGATGCCTGGACACGTCTATCTAATTGTCTGCAAATTCTCGATAAGATTATCTAACGCTAACGGACGCATCAATGTTAATTTGTCAACGCAATCAATGATAACGAGCCCCGACTGATGAGGATGACTCGCTCTCGCATTTTATCTGTCTATCTATTTGTATTGTATCTATATTTTCTGCTCGGATATTCGATATTCCTTACTACGAGTTGTACATTTATGATCAGCTGCTTTGGAATACCTCCATTTGTAGAAAGTATCACAAACATACTCGTATCATAAATCATCTGAAAATACCTACCGAAGATTCAGCTATGCAAAGAGCCGTCGCTTCGAGTAGTTGTTGTATCTGTACACACCCAGGACACATTCTACACACCCACACACCGGTGGGCGTGCATTCCACAGATAGATAAACACGGCCCGTTGTGGGGACTCTGTTTGGTTTTAGTATTTAGATATATTTGTATTTACTTTCGGGTATTACGAGTATGCACATTTGTGTGTGTGGTACGTACGAGTATATGCCGAAGTCCGATTGTATGATTTTGTATTTTTTTGTGTGTTGTTTGTCGGTTTGGCTTGGCTCAATAAATTACAGATTACATTCGGGGTGGCCTCTAGGCATGGCATAGTACTACAGCTTAAGTAAATGTACATATATAACGGAGCATATATGTACATACATACACAGGCATTACTTAGTTAGTGACTGTTCAGAGTTTTAGAGTATTCAGTGAAAGGGCTTCTGTAGATGTAAAAATAGTTTTGCTTTGGTTCTAGATTTAGTTTTTCGAGTGTTTTTCTTTTGGAAGCTTTCGTCTACTCTCCAGATATCAAATGGTGGCTATCGTATCTTTTTTTCGGATAATTTCACATCGATTTTTCGTAGATGTAATGCATTTAGATATCTATTTTTGTTTTGTACTAATTTAATATGCAATAAAAATACATACATATGTATGAGACTTTGGTTTTTAAAAAATGTCCTTGAAATTCATCAGAAGTAAGCATATAAATATGCAGTGTACAAATTTTGGCTGTAAATAAAACTGAATGCAGTTGAGTTTTACCAATATGCACTCATAATATGTAGGTATGTATATGTCTTTCGATAATCAAAATTACGAGTATTCAAATTGAGTAATTCTCAAAAATTTGAACAGACTTGACTTGGAAATGTTTGCTTCATTTATAGGTATATTTTAGTTGGTTTTTGGGTTTTTAATATGTCATAAAATTCATTAAAGTAATTCAGACACACATCACATACATCTAAATTGTACACAGATTATATTTTAGTTATGTATATATTAAATTTATTTGTTAAAAATACGAGCAAATTTCATCTTTATCTTCACGTTCGGAGTACGATTGCATTCGGGTTTGACTTTCAGTAGCACTCATTCTCTGGATAAATCATTCTTCCCTCAGTGCCGGGGACCGAGCATATTTAATTTTGATCATTTTGGTTATCTTAGCTTACGTTTTGATTTCAAATTTGGAGAGTTAAAGAAAATGTTTAAATGCTTCAAGTTCGGAGCTATACAATTATACAATTTATACGTTTTTTTATACTTTGATGTTGTTATTTATCGAAATGTATTGTGTGATTCAAACTACTTTAAAGATACACCAACGAACTGTCATGTAATTCTGTTCATTTTCTGTAGATTTTAATCCCTTATTCCCTTAGTTGGCAAAACGTTCCACTCCTACCACGATTTGCATTTTAATAATTTGTCTATAAATAGTTGTAGCCTCTTGTGGCCAGAATTCTGCTATGAGAGAAAGATACGGAGCTACGAGAGGCACAAAAGCTTAGCTCAGCTGTCGCTAATCATGGAAAAATTAGTATATGTACCTTAATGATAGCCGATACGATAGGGGGTGTATGTCACATACGAGTACATATGTTACACGCTTAAAGTAGATTGTCTTTAATCCATAGTTAGCAGCTAGTTTCATGTGTAGTAGGTACTAAAGTTCTCGAAACTCGAAAACAATCTCCAGCGGGGAGCGTAGTCGTCTCGTCCTCCCTTTTTGGGTTACAGTTTTATAGTTGTACAGATTTACAGTTTTATAGTTGTACAGTTTTACAGCTTTACAGTTTTAAGTATTTACTAAGCTTAACTTATTGCTATGCAATTTGTTAATTATGGTACATTGAGACTCTATGCCAGCTGTATATATAGACACGCTATATATACCTTAATAATGGTTTTGTTTTGTTTTGTTTTTTGTTTGTTTGTTAAATAAAATGTAAAATTAATTGAATTTACACGCACATTGATATATTTGAATGGAATTAAAAGATTACGCTTTCTATGATATTTCTCAGCTTAAAAATTGAATACACGATTAACCGAATTGGTAATTGCTGTGTTGCTTGCTTGCTTGCTTTTCTCTAGATATTTCTCTAATGTAATTTATCCGTTTTGTATTTTTGGCGAACCCAGTTAAACGCGATTTCGATTTGATCGTAGTGCCGGGGCGAACACTACAATCGAATGACGTTTGAACCTGACTCCAAACTCCAAACTCCAAACTTCTAACATCTCTGATCTTTCAATCGTATATGTACGATTTCCAATTTTATTTATATATTCAAATCGATTAGATTTCTACAAAACACTTAGATGTTTGCTCAAAAATAAGTGAACTCTCAATTGGAATATTTAAACATTTAAAGCTTTGAAAAGTTGTTCAAAATTGGACTGAAACGATAGATCGCGGATCGCTAGAATGCTACACAGAATGAGAAACGGGGGCGGGGTGCTTGAATATTCGCTATGGTTATGGCTTAGATATATTGCTTTCCTTTGGCTGCCAGGTGAGACTTGAGATGTTGAACAGTATTCGATTATTGCACAACTGAAGGTCTGTTAAACAGTTAAAACTTAACAATCGATTAAATGTAAATGTACATATATATTATATAAATAACAGAAAACAAACAGAAACAGAAAACTTAACAAAGAATAATTGCTCTTTAGAAACTATAAACTATAAATTATTTATAAATACATATAACAAATTGTCTTTTTGCATTGCCAAAAGTTGTTAATATCGAATATCAAAAGAGATTTATAGGGCACAACGCGCAGATTGGGGATTGTCTCTGATCAGATCAGAGATCTATGGGAGGATTACGTAGTCGGGATTCACATAGGAGAAGCCAACAAATTCCGACTGATCCAGATTCATCATGAATACCTTATCCGTGGGCGTCAAGTCTGTTTTCTCTGATGTGAACTGCTTGTCAAAGTTGGACACATCCTTGCGGTGTTTCTACAGAGGCAGAATAAAGAAGGGATGTTCGGGAAGGATCAATTTTGTACAAAATATTCCATCTACTCACAATCTTTGGCTTAAACGGTGGCTGCACTTCGCGGTTCTCAATCTTCTCCCAATCGATGCGCCGGAAAAAGGCATGCAGACGCACATCCTCCTCGCCGGTGGGACCACAGCCCAAGCGTTTGTTCGGTAGTTTGGTGAGAAACTAATGGTAGAGGAGACATTCACCTGTATCTGTTATCTGTATTCATTCTATATTTGCGGCAACTTACACCCTTGCAGGCCTCTTTGGCCTCCTTGCTGAGGCTCTTCGGATAGGATACATTGTGATCGGTGATGGCCGCAAAGAGCTCCTCTTCATCCTCGCCATCGAAGGGCGGCTGACCCACCAGCATCTCGTAGAGCAGCACTCCATAGGCCCACCAGTCCACAGATTTGCCATACGGCTGGTACAGGATAATCTGCAATGATTCCTCCTCAAATCAAATGCCATCCATAAATAAAGCCGCCTGCGAAACCCACCTCAGGTGCTATGTAGTCCGGAGTGCCGCAGAAGGTCTTAGTCGTCTTGTCGGCCATAATGTTCTCCTTGCACATTCCAAAGTCGGCAATTTTCACGTGTCCATCCGCATCGAGAAGGACATTGTCCAGCTTCAGGTCGCGATACAGGATCCCCTTGGTGTGCAGAAAGAAAAGTCCAGCGGCTATTTCCGCTGCATAAAAACTACAAAGAAAGGCAGCACATCAGAGATGTGAGTTGTGGGATGGAAGGATGGATTCAGAGTTATCATCTTACACTGCGACTGGCTCTTTGAATTTGCCAAACTGTTGGATCTGGAACATCAGATCACCGCCGTTCACATACTCCATGACAAAGAACAAGCGATCCTAGAAAGGAGGGAATGATAATCATCTAATCTCTGGTTGGGTTGGGTGCGAGGACTTACCAGTGTCTGAAAGCAGGAATGCAACTGGACCAGAAATGGTGGCTTCTCACCCAGGGCCAGGACGCGCTTCTCGATCATGGTGCACTCGACATCGTCGTCTTGAATGATCACATCCTTCTTGAGTATCTTGATAGCATACAGCTCCTCGCTGCCCTTGCGCTCTGCCAGCAGGACCTGCGGCGGCGGTAGATCGTTATGCATTAGGAGATCTGGATCTGATTTGGAAGATCACCCACCTTGCCAAAGGATCCCTTGCCCAGGACCTTGATGAAGTTAAAGTCGGTGGCCCGGATCATGTCCTTCTTGGATATGGACGAATGTGTGTTCGTATCGCTGCGCATAACCAGGGGCTTCTTCTGCGATGGCTTCTGCTTGAGCTTGAGCAGATCCTGTTCGTCGTCGGCACAGGGCACATTGTAGTACTCGCCCTCGTCCTGGGTGAGCAGCTTGAACCACCCGTTGGTGGGGTTCTTGATGATCTCCGAGATGCCAAAGGACAGGGCGCCCATGAAATCATTCCGCGAAGTGCGATCCCAGTCCCATACCTCGATGAGGATACGTCGATCCTTGTCCTCGGGCTTTAGGTCACTGCGGAAGGGGAGACGATTCTTCATTATATGGACTGGACTCGGCACGGATGTACCCACTAGGTGATGGTCTCGTTCCAGACGGGATTCAGGCAAGCCTTGATGGTGCGTGTCTTCTTCTTGTTCTGGTCCTTGTCGTCCGGAATGAGCTTGACCTTGACATAGGGGTCGCTGAGTCCGTTGGGATCCATGGGTATGAGATTCCGACCCTCTATGACTGCAGTCAGTGTGCCACAGATGTAACAGAGAGTGGAGCAAACAAGTGGGATTAGACAGTGGCTAAAGCAGTATCGCAATCACTTGAGTGGATTGTAAATTATTGTCTACCATTCCTGCGACAACAGACCACAAACTATGTGGGATGGGCTCCCAAGTCTGCCGGGAACAAAGCCACCACAGTCCCAGAGGGCGTACATAAGTGCGCGAGAGGGGGCGTCCATTATTCTGCAGCTGCATTCCGTTTGGTATTCATTATGTGGCATTTGTGCCTGTTGCGAAGGAGCACCGAAGGGGCAGGAATACAAAGAATTTCCTTAAGCGCGCATAATGAATTAATGCAAATCGCAAGCAATTTGCCGAGGAAGAGCCTGAGCCTGCCCAGAAGCTGGAGGACAAGGCCACCCCCGCAGGCCCGAAGGACCTGCAAACTTTCGTCGCCGCACGACGCCAAGAAGATACGAGATACAAAGACGGAAAGACTCGAGAAGATGTAACATTTTAAGCGTGTTGCTTGGGAAACTTTGCGGCTTCTTGGGCGTACTTTGTTCTCCCCCCAACCACCACCCCCTTATGCTTTCTATATTCTGTAAACTTTTCGCCCCCGCAAGGCAGAGGGAAAAACTGTTCGGGAAAAAGTAGGTACAAAACTGGGAATAGCCAGAAAAGAGAAAACTTTTTCTACAACGCCATAATTGGTTACAATGCTTAAGCGGCTTAAATTTGTATGTACTTTCCCAGCGGGGATGGGGCGGGGGCTGGGGATGGGCCTGCGACCTACACTGGTCTGTGGTCTGTGGTCTGTGGCAGGGTCTGTTTGTCTGTCTGTGGGGCTTGCTTGGCACTTACTCTGGACAGTGAGGAGGTTGTCCTTGACATTGATCACGAGATTAATGCGTCCCCGTCGCTCCGTGTGATCGCATCCGCAGAGGCTTGGCACATTCTCCTTGCAGCGGGCATGCACGTTCATGTCACATGCTAGAGGGTTTTTGCGGAATAATTCCAGTTAGAGGCGATACTTTGTGGATGTTAAAGGCAGGTAGAAGGGTTGAAGGGTGAATAGCTGGGGCTGGAGAGCACGGGGAAAAGTGAAAGATGTGGCACAGACACACACACACACACATACACCCGTAGACGCACACACAGGGGGAGTACTTACCTGGCTATCGCTGGAAATTCTTCCTTACCTGATGTTATCCAACCGATTAAGGGGGCTTCCATGGGAATCCAATCAGAATCAGTACATATGTACATACTATAGCCCATGCCACCCGTATACATACATATGTAACCCCCCACCCCTCGTCATGGCGTTACGTTTTGTTGCCACCGGAAATTGACAAACTGTTGCATAGTTTCGAGGCAGCGCTCACTGCCACTGGCAGTGCCATTGGTGACTGCTTTTGACAGCAGTGCCGTGGGAGCGTTCAATTGGAAATTATTTGCGAAAATCGAATTGTAATTCATTTTCCACGGAGCACTGTTTTTTTTTTTTTCAATTAAGGCGCGTTGGCCATCATTCCCAATCCCCACTCCCAGCTCTCTATCATCATCCTCAGCATCAGCGTGATTGGGCATCGTCCTGTTTGTGTTGATTGCTTCAGTTCCTTTCACATATCCGTGGCCCTTCTGTTCTGGTCTTTTCTTTTCTGTTGCTCTCTCCCACTCCATCCGTCACATTCCGCTTTGGTCATGTGTAAAATTACTTTCTGCTGTGCCTGTGCCTGTGCCAGTGCCCGGCCTGGTCTTAGTGTCATTCAAGCGGACGCGGCTCGTACCGCTGCGTATACGTAATATTTAAGTTTCGCTGGCAAAACGCTGGACCGGGCAAAAACAGACTCCATGTGCCACAGAATGTACGAAAATATACACAAGGCAAACTGATAAAGGGTTTTCCATTGGCGTGCCAGAGAAAACAAACACAGACACTCTCGTATGCCTCACTGATTGCATGTGTATTTTCGGCGCACGTGGGTGTGTGTGTATTATTGTTCATAATGTGGCTATACTTGTATCTCTGCATCTGCATATGTGGTGTATTTATTTTTGCCCTCCCACTCGGTTTCGTGAATTATATTTTGTTTTTCTTTTTGGCATACATCAGCGGACATTTCCCTGTTTTTGCAGCTGGGAAAGTTTTTCCTCTGATTCGATTTTCAGTTACCCCAAAAGAAGAGCGTCGGCATTCCATTGGCATGGAATATCATATTTATTTGAATATTTCAAGAGCCTCCTCCGTTATATCCCCTTGGAACCCCGTAGTCATTAATCTCTAGCTGGTTATAGTAGTAGAGCTCATCTGCTATTCCATATGTTATTCCATTTTCTGCCTTAAATACGCAGCACTTCTCATGATCCTCACAGTTTGGATGCTCCACGACTAGTGTGCAGGGAGCGCCTCGTTGCAGGCAGGCTCCGTTTGACCCACAGACTGCAACATGGATCAAGAAGTCACACCTTTGAGTGCCCCGAGGTGGAAATATACTAACAGTTGTGTAAAGCCTGGCAGCGATATCGGAGCAGCGGCAGGAGGAAGGCGGCCAGTAGCCAGTACTTCGTGAAGGTGTTGGCCATCATCAGCGTTCACTCTCAAGACTATCGCTGAACGGGCAATTCCAGAGCTCTTAATATACATATAAGTCTTTGCCGCATACCGAATGGTTTCGCTTCGGTTGAACTTTATTCAGAGTATCCCAAGTGGAGCTCGAATTGCTGGAGAGAACGGGAGAATGGCTCGCTTTTCTTTATAGAACGCAGATTGGGTCAGACACAGCCTTGAAACCGTATTAGATTTCAATCAAATTGTGGATTGTATTTGGGTTTTGAACTAACTAAAGATCGTTGCAGTTCATGCATATTCAAATATGTCTTTCCCTGGTCGAAAGCGACTTCGCAGGACCCGCTCTCTTGGGGCATTTACCATGAAGTTTGATGCACAGCATTTCTCATCGTCAGAGCACACACCGGATTCAATCACGATGAGGCATCCAGATAGTTCCTTCACGCACATTCCACCACCGCCGCAGCCTTCAAGAGTGATTGATATATAGATCAATAGTATAGTCCTGGAGGTATACTAACGAGTAGCTGAGCCATGGATCATCGGTAGGAGAGCAAACAGTACGTAGAACAGACATGCCTCCATTGTGGTATATACGAGTATATATTATTAAAAGTAAAAAGCTTTATTGTCCAGCACAATACGGGTTTGTACTGGCAACCAATTGATTCGATTTGCATCATTTATGATATTTAATCTGGATTTTCTAAGCAGAAACAGCGGACGATTCGGTCGAATGGAGGCAATAGCTTTTATGGTATATTTCGAGGCATGATAATCCTTACCTTACTCTTATAAAAGGTATGTAAGGCCATTGAGCGTGCAACAATGCAAACAAAAATAAATAAAAATACGCTTGAGTTGATGTTTTGGTCTTTGTGGGAAGGTTTCGTAACTAGACCATTCGCTGGCCCTCAAAGGATGCCCTATATTTGGAAAATTCTCCGACAAGCAGCCCCCACACAGAAAATTAAGGCGCGTGTGCGGGGCGACAATTAAAGTTGCCAAATATTTATCCACTGGTTGACAGACTCTCAATTTGTGGCATGCACGTGCAAATTGAGTCCAACAAACAAAAGCAACGTGAAAATAACACGGAAATTAACAAGTTTTTAAGAGTGCAAACAGAAAAAAGAAAAAAACAAATGCAGCCAGTGGCAGGGATAGAGCATGTCAACAGCGGCAGTGCCAACAAACAAAAGGAGCTCGCTCAAGTGTGCACAATTCCCACACACACACACACAAACCCCCTACTGCCACACACACACACACACACACACCGAGGGCAAGTGCACACTTGAGCTGGAACAAAGCGCCGCTAATTGTAAATTGCAACATTCTAATATTCTAAAAACTCTGCGGCTAACGGCGGGGCATCCAAAATGCAAATGCAAATGAGAAACGAAACTTGTGCCGCGCCGACACCAAAAACGAAAAACGATAAAAAGATTCAGTTCGGGATCCGAAGTTTTGGATACCCTTGCAGGGGAATAATTCGTAATTACGAAACGAACGGACGGATATGGTATATACCTATGTACCATGATGAAATTATATAAGGTGGTCCGCTCCTGCAACGCGCTCTCTTTTCGGGTCTTATTTTGTTTAGTACTTCTCTCACTCATCAAGCCTGGCGTCAAAGCGCTCTCTTAGCACTGAGCGTAATATAAGACCCTAAAGGGAGTTAGCGGACCACCTTGTATAATTTCATCATGCTGTGCTCTGTATACCTCTGCAAGAGTATACAAAGAGAGAGAGACACTAGACAGAGGACAGCGACAGACAGCGAGTGTGTACATGCGTGCGGTTGAGAGGGTTAAGACGCCATTATCACTCCCCGTTCGACATTACCTCGACACTTGAGACCCTTATGCGTGATGCCGTGCAGCAGAGAGCCGCAATGATCGCAGAACATCGGCGACAGAAAGGTGACGCTCTGCCATTTGTGGGGCATTTGGTGTGCCTAGTGGTGCCGTCGAGGATCGTTGGAAGCGGAACCACAGGAGGAACAAGTTGTAGAAGAAAAAGGAAGAGAAAACTAATGGAACATTAACGCTAGGCTCGCCTTAAAGTGTGATTACATAGTACATAGTATGTGTGTGCTAAGGGATGAATAACGATAATTGAGGTGCAATTGCATAACAAAATACGAGCACAAGCCAAAATGAGACAAAAGGACAAAAAGGACACACTGAGAGAATGAGCAAAACCGAAAGCAAAAGTGAATAACAGTCGTTGGTTTGGTCGTTTGGTTCTTGTTTATGAAAGGTTTTTACTGTCGCATGCAATGCCTGTAAGTCCGATGCCACTTCAGCAGGCACTCTCTTTCGCAGCACAGAGAGGGCGATCAGCCCTAGCCAAGTTACACATATGGTCTTAGGCGAGGTAAGGTATTCATCCCGTGCAGATAGACCCCCTATATCTAAGGAGGTTGCGAGGTTGCTTCAATTCAAGAGCCCCAATTTTGGACTCTTTTTAAATCCACTTTGGCCCCTTCGACTCGAACACCATCCGGCAAATGCAAATGCAAAGTGCAAAAAGTTTTCCGCTGCTCTCGCCTCTGCTAATGAAATAAGCGCGACGCTAATTGAGTTGCAACTTCGACGTCCCATGTCGCAGGCGGTGTTAGAATTAGATGTGCGATGTGCTGTGCTCGCGGTCGGGGGGGGGGGGCTATGCGGTAATGCGGTGGGTGTTTGGGTGTTTTGGGGGCCATAGAGCAATGGGGGGGAGGGCAAGTGCTGAGTGCCTAGGTCCTTGCTGGCAGTAAAACACAAATAACCTTTTAAGGCTCTCCCGATGCTCTGTCAGAAGACAATTGCTGCCTAATCCCCCAAACCGCCTCTCACCCTTGCCCTTCTCCTTGCCGACTCGTGACATTGACGGGCAACTTTTAGAGGTTTCCCTTTTCTTGTGTGTGGTGGGCATATACTTTCCGGTGGCAGTGTCAGCAACACCCAACACACACACACACACACACGGAGACAGTTGAGTCTTTAGTTTGTGGGCGGTCGAGGATTGGTGGCCTGGTAAGCAAGGACATTTGATAGCATTATGCGCATGCATGAGCATCCACTGAGTAGTTTCCCCACTGCCTTTCGACTATTTTCGGGGGGAGGGCAAAGGCAATTTGTTGTTTGACTCTCGCTCGCTGGCTGCTGCCAAGGTTCAACAGCTGCTCAGCCGTTAATATCCCTTTTCCACCAAAAGACAAACAGACGGGGGCCCGTACGCCACCCCAACCCCCCCGCCTACATACCACAGGCAAGGCTGTCGTCTGGGTGACCTTGCCTGGTTGTGGCAGCAAAAGTGTTGCCTACTTTATGGGGCAGGATGGGGCAGGATGGGGCCGTACGCGACACACATACGAGCATGTAGGAGGCCGTGGTTGCAATGATTTTCCATGAATCCCGAACAGAAGGTCAGCTCGTGACCTTCGATAGCCACAGGTGTTGCCTGACATTCGATGGAGTCCTCCTCCAATTGGATTTTCTTGTCGTGCAACTCCCGCTCCACCAAAGCCGTGACATTTCAACGCCGCCACGTTGTCCTCCCTCTTTTCCAATAAATCTTTCTCACACACTGACACACAGACACATAACCATTTGGCTAAAACGCCCACATTGGACGCCTCCTCATTTGCCACGTGCCGTATTTTGAAAAATTTGTTGCAGCAAGAATTTATCACCGAATTTTTGTCTTTCCTCTGCTGTCGCCAAACAAATTCATCCTTCGTCCTGCCCCGGCACGTGGCTACACCTCTCTCTACTCTTTATAGCTGCTTCATGCTCCTCCATGGCCATCATCTAGCTAGATGGCAGCTTCAGCTTCCATCGACTCCATTCAAAGTAATTTTTGATATATAAAACGCTATCATATACGACCCGTAGTCGTATAATATAACTGCCAGCATATTAACAACCGATGCCCCAGATAACAAATGGGAGGGGTGGTGGGTGGTTTGTGTGGCAGACATTGGCAAATATAAATTGCCATGTCATTTATTCCGACAACGCAGATAAGAACCGTTTGTGGCGTAGATGGAGCGAGAAGAGTCACGAATGTTGTCCGGGGGGAAGGGGCAGGATTGTGTCCTGATTGTGGTCTCTCAGGGGGCGAATGGGGATCGTTCGTATCGGATCAGATGGGATCTGTGTGCCACACACACCATCTGGCGTCATTTGGCGAGCAGCAGACAAACTCATTTGCTTTTCAATTTCCGCTTGAGTACAAATTGGTTGCACAGTGTATATTTTCTCGCACTCCGAAAAGGCCATCAAGTGGGTAGCATTTTCATCTGATTTTGTAATCGAGAAGAGGGGCAATCAGAGCGGGGCGGGGCGGGGTGAGGGGCCAACAGGTGTGAAGCTGAGCTTTAGCCATAAATTGATTTGTCTACTGTCTGCCCCAGGGCCCCACCAAAAGACGCCCCTTGCTTGTTGCCGGTTTGTGTCAGTGCGTCAAAGAGAATTTGATCCGATTTGGGGCAACAAGGAAACAAATAAAGTGCCAAAAAGATGTCACACAATCGCCCACACACACACTAACGACAATGGCCACATTAAAGCACATTGGGGCCAGATTGTATTACACAGGCAGGCAGGCCGAGGCAGGCACTTGGGGGACAGGGGGGACGCCACTCGAGCGTGTGTGCAATTGATAAGCACTCGATTTGTCAAGTTTTTCAAGTGAACGGCACGGAAAGGAAAGGCATGTCCTGTTGCCATGAGAGATGCCCCCCAACTTGTGGCACAGTTGGTCCAGAGGCACTTCAATTTGGGGGAAATGCTCTCTTTTTAGCGCTAGCTGCGGTGCTTACATTTGGCCCCGTTGCCCGGCTATAGATATTTAAGTATGAATTGGTTTCCGAATGACGGATTTCCCCCACTCGTCGCGAGATCCGTGAAAAGGGATAAGTAGTTACAGTTCCGGGCTTCGGGTGGGTTGCCAGGGAGATCGCATCATAGTCCCAGCCAGCTACACGTGCGAGGCAAAGGCTTCAGTGGCAGCGAGTCCTGGGGCAGCACTAAACGAAAGTTTTTATCCGCAGTAGTTATCCGTTTTTTGCTGGCCCCAAAAATACATCAAAATCATATTCATTTCCGAGCAAATGATAAGCATTGTTCGGGCGGTAGCCCCTCTCTGGGATGCCTCCACTGGTGGTAGCATGTGCATGATTATGCAAATGAATTGGATGCCAGGGACAGGCCAGAGGGCAGAGCCAGGCTACACGTGCCACAACAGAAACCAGAGAAAACTTTCAGTTCTCTTTCGGTTGGAAGCAAACAAAAGGTAAACCCCAGGGATTGGGATTGGAGCGGAGTACGAAAGAGTAAATATATAGAGTATATATATATGCAAAGGTGCGGTCTGCATAAACATATATATGTGTGTATGTATGTACGAGTATGTCTGAATGTATATGTAGGTAAAACAATTTAAATAATTAACTTTTTAGGCCTCCCCATGAAAAGTTGCTCCTTGTTGTTGGCTTTGGCTTCGACGGCAACTGTTGACCAGGTCAAATTGCGTTTAAAATTTAATTTTTGTACTCAAACACACACACAGAGAAGCACTCGAAGGATTCGCCATTTGGGTATGGTATCATCATTATTTACACTGTCAAACAGGGCTTTATGGAAAAAGA